AAAAAAAAGAGAGAGAGAGACAGAGAGAGAGAGAGAAGCAAAGAAAGAAAAAGAAAAGTCAGAGCTGAGGGTATAGGTGTAGCTCAGCAGAGCACTTGCCTAGCCTGCCTTTAGGTTCAGTTCCCAGTATTGGTTGGGGTGGGGGTGGGGGATAAAAACAAATGGAAAAGTTCAGCCTTGGATTTGGAAAGTCTTATTCTAGAACCAAAGCCCTAAATACCCATTTTCTTTTCTTTTGTTCCCTTTCTGGTGCCAGAGAGCAAACTCAGTGCCTCACATATTTACCAGGCAAATTACCATAGCCTTTTATTGGCTCACCCTAAAGAATGACAAGTTTCAGAGAAATCCTGCACCCTGGATGGAAGCACCAAAGTGAACCAACCCTGCCATCCATTCCGCCTCCCTTCCTTCAGGACCTGTTTCCTCAGACCCCTCCACAGGCATCAGGGACACAGACCCCAGCCTCTGCTCCAGGAGAAAGTCTGACCGACCCCCTGCCCCAGAAAGGGCATGTTTCCCCAGAAAGGAAGCTTCTCAGAAAGTCCCTCCTTACTTGTAAAAGAGAACCAAGGCCAGTGACTTCTCCACCAGACATGATGAAGGACACATCCCACATCTCGGAGAGGAACTGGCCCCAGTATGGTGACAGCACTGTGGGTCAAAGAGCAGGAGCCCAGGAGCCCAGAACAATGAAGGCATCAGAAAGGCCAATTAATGGCCCTGAATCCCATCCCCCCTTTTAATACTGGGGATTTAACCCAGGGTCTTCACACTGAGTTACATCCCCAGCCCTTTTTATTGTTTTAGTTTTAAAAATTTTTTTTGTACTGGGGATTGAACTCAGGACCTAGCACTTGCAAGGCAGGTGTCGGAACCACTGTGCTAAATCCCTGGCCCTTTTAATGTTATTTTGAGACAAGTTCTCACTAAGCTCCTAAATTGCCCAGGCTGGGCTTGAACTTGGAATCCTCCTGTCTCAGCCTCTGAGAGTGCTGGGATTACAGGCATGTGCCTCCTTCTGTGAGCTTCCTAGAAGTTGAATTTTTAGTTATTTATTTAGGGGTTTTTTGTATCATAGATACATAAAAAATGAAAAAATAATCTTGGTGGAAATAGAATTTATAAAAGCAAAGAAAGAAAAAACAACTGATGAAATGTGAGAACATAGTGCTTCTTTAAAATAAAAACAAAGTGCTATCAAGAAGACATAATTAGAGTACTAAATTCTTAGAAATAAAAACCATGATATTCAATTGCTGTAAGTATTGAAACAAAAAGTCATGTAACTATCCTGGAAGATAAACCCCTGAAGAATGGAGAAGAGAGAGAGTAAGACTGCATCGTGACAGGCTCCTGAGTCAGACCCCACCCAGCAGCCCCACTGCCGCATCCACATCTGTGGGAGCAGAGAGAACAGGAAGCCAGCAGCCGCCCTGGTGCTCTCAACACCGCCCTGGGTATCAAGCCAGGCCCGGGCCCATCACCCAGGGGACTCTAAAGTTTTCCACCTGCTCAACCAGTGCCCCCTCCCCTACCTAAACTCCCCCCTATCAGCCACATGCACCCTCCTCTCAGTGCCCACGGCCTTCACGCCCTTGGCCCATCTGCACCCAGAAGGCAATAAATTCATCATGTTGCTTGAACTTTGCCTGCCTCAGTGGTCTCAATCGCACCTCCGTCTGGCCTTATACACTGGGTCTGGTAAACCTCTGCTATTGGGAAAGAAAGGCCCAGACAGAAAGAACAAACCAGATGGCTCTGGCTTCTCTTGCTGGCATGTAGCCTTGCTCTTCATTTTTCAGGGCCTCAGGGACTCCCTCTCACTGCCCTCTGCTCCCAGACCTCCAATCCGCTGACTGCGCCTGCTCTCCAGCTGCCTGGGATGGGGTGGGGGGCACAGGTGGCCGAATTAAGTGTCCAAATCACGAGTCACTTCTGTGATCCACCTACTTGGAGGGAGTGGGGCCGCCTCCCCTGGGAGAAGTCATAAGGGCAGGTACAGAGAAAGCAGAGCAATGCAAGAGGCTGAAAGGCCAACCCGCAGCAGTGGTGGAAGACAGAATGGAAGGGAGATCAGAGCACTGTCCAGGCAGCTGCACCTCCCTGCCATGCACTCATCTCCGGGCAGAACCTGCAGCTAGCCCTGCACAATGGGAGTAGACCTGCACCCCACACCTTGGTGTATCAGAACCCCATGAGGTGATTTATGATTACAGCTTTCCTAAGGAACTGGAAGCAGCAGGGATGAAGTTAAAATAAATGAGAGGGGGAAAAGCAAGCCTAAGAAAGGGCTGAGAGTGTGTTTGGCTCTGCATTTGACCTTGAGTTTCCAGGGACTGGCCCCAAAAGGGAAAATTTACATGAGTTCCTGTAGTCAAAAAGGAAGAAAGAAAGCTGGGTGTGGTGTCACAGCCTGTAATTCCAGCCCTCTGGGAGGCTGTTCAGGCAGGAGGATCGAAAAGTCAAGCCCAACCCGGTCATCTTAGCAATTTAGTGGGAAACATTAGCCAGAGCAATTAGACAAGAGAAAGAAATAAAAGGGATATGGATAGGCAAGGAAGAAGTTAAATTATCATTATTTGTAGATGATGTGATCCTCTACATAGAAGACCCCAAAAACTCCACCAAAGACTCCTAGAATTAATAACCAAATTCAATAGCATAGCAGGATAAAAAAGTCAACACTCAAAAATCAATAGCCTTCCTATACATGAATAACAAGCTCACTGAGAGAGAAGTTAGGGAAATAACAGCATTGAGAAAAACAAAATACTTAAGAATTAATCTAAACAAGGGAGTAAAAAGACCTCTACAATGAAAAACTGTAGTACCTGAAAAAGGAGATAGAAGAGGATATCAGAAAATAGAAAGATGTCCCCTGTTCCTGGATAGGCGGAACCAACATAGTGAATAATGGCCAAACTTAAAAAAACTGTTACACCGATCTAACACAATCCCACTCAAAATGCCAATAGCATTCCTCACAGAACTGAAGAAACAGTCCTAAAATTCATATGGAACCAGAAGAGACCTAGAATAGCAAAAGCAATTCTGGGCAAGAAGAGCAAGGCAGGGGGCATTTCAATCCCCAACTTGAAATTATACTACAAAGCTACCATGATAAAAATGGCATGGTTCTGGGAGGAAAACAAAAAAGACCTGAGGATCAGTTTAACAGACTAGAGGATGCAGAAATGACTCCAGGCACACTCAGCCACCTTATCTTTGACAAAAGGTGCCAAATACTTTCACTGGAGGAAAGGCAGCCCCTTTAATAAATGGTGCTGAGAAAACTGGCTTTCCACATGCTGAAGACTGGGTCTCGGCTCACATCTCTCACCATGCACTAAACTAAAAATGGATTGAAGATGTAAATATTAAAACAGAAACAGTCCGGTGGAAAACAAAATAGGTAAAGCTCTTGATGACATAGGTACAGGCAAGGACTTTCTGAACAGAACCCCAGTGGCACAGCAGGTAACACCAAGAATCAGCACCTGGGGTTGCATTAGGCTCAAAAGCTTCTGCACAGCAAAGGAGCCACCAACAGAGCGAAGGGACAGCCCATAGAGTGGGGAAAAATTTTCCCAGCTACTCCTCAAAGGACTGATATCTAGAATATGTAAAGAACTAAAAAAAAATCAGACCCCCCCAAATTTAAAGAGCCACTCAAAAAATGGATCTGAAATGAATAGACACTCTTCAGATGAAGTACAAATGGCCAATAAATACATGAAAAAATGTTCAATAACTCCAGCCATTCAAGAAATGCAAATTAAAACAACACTGAGATCCTATCTCACTCCAGAAAGAATGCCCATCACCAAGAAATCAAATCATAATAAATGCTGGTGGGGCTGCAGGGAGGGAGGGGCTTCTACATTGTTGGTGGGAATGTAAATTAGTACAACTGCCATGGAAATCAGTATGGAGATTCCTCAAAAAACTGAAACTAGACAGAAATTCCATTTGACCCAGATATTCCCTTTCCAGGTATCTTCCCAAAAGAATTAAAGACAATATTACAGTGATCCATGCATATCTATGTTTACAGCAGCACAATTCACAATAACTAAGTTTGGAAGCAGCCTATATGTCCATCAACAGATAAATGGACAAAGAAAATGTGGTGTTTACACACAGTGGAGTACTACTCTGCCATAAAGAAGAATAAATTTGAGTCATTTGTAGGAAAGTGGTTGTACCTTAAGACCATAATATCAATGGGCCAGGGATTTAGCTTAGTGGTGCCCCCGCCTGCCTTGAAAGTGCAAGTTCCTGTATTTGATCCCCAGTATCACCCCCAAGAAAGCAGGCCATAATATCAAGTGAAGTAAGTCAGACACACAAGTTTAAATACACCATGGTTTCTCTTATATGAGAAAGCTAATATATAAATAGAGTGCAAAATAAAAGACAGACAGTAAGGAAAAGAGAAAAACATTATTGTAATCCAGCATGACCAATGTATCTAAGAGTGTACCTCGATTTAATGTAATTGTTTTATATGTTTTTTGGCCCGTTAGTCTGGCTGTTAATCTGTGTTTATGATAATTAACTTGATAAAGACTTATAAAATAAATAAATAAATCTGATGCTGCCAAAAGAAAAAAAATTTAAAAACAGGCATGGTGGTGCACACCTGTGACCCCAGCACTTGGGAGGCTGACGCAGGACTGCCTCGAGTTCGCCAGCCTGGAGTACATAGGGAGACCTTGTCTGAAACAAACAAACAAACGAGGGTGGGGAGAATTGGCAAGTGCTGTGTACATGTGGCAATTCCCCACAGTGAATGTCATCATTATGTACTGCAAATATGCACTAATAAAAAAATTTTAAATCATAAAAGATAAATAAAATGGGCTGAGGCTGTAGCTCAGTACAAAAGCCCTGAATTCAATCCCCATTACTTGGCAAGGGGAAGGGAGGCAGGGAGGCAGGGAGGCAGGGAGGTTGCTCAGTGAAAGCCCCTACTTCCTGTCACCTGACCTTCCTGGGGACACACTTCCTGCTGCCCGTGTTTTGGCTGTAAGGCAGGATGGGGAACAGACTCAGAGCTTCCACTCCAGAAGTTCACTTTGAGATGGACCCGCAAGCTGCCCGGGGACCAGGGCGGGAGCAGGGCCAGGGCCACCATCCGGGAGACCAAGAGGAGGCCTGGACAGGCTGATGGAACTCAGGATGGAAGCCTTCAGATGCTGAATTTTTTTTTTGTTTCAATACTGGGGATGGAGCCCTGGAGCCCCAAGCGTGCAAAGCAAGCACTCGACCACGGAGCTGCAACCCAGCCCTTCTCTTTATTCGGCGACAGGGTCTTCTAGGTCAAGTCGCTGAGGGCGGCCTCCATCCTCCGGGCCCAGCCCACTGAGAAGATGGGATCACAGGCGGGCGCCTCCTTGCCCAACCTGCTATCTTCTGAAGGCAAAACGCAGCAGGTTTCGTAACAAGCTGGATGTGGAGGTGAGCGAGAGAGAGGAGGAGGACACTATCAGGCTCACGGCCAGGCGCTGTAAGAGTGAAACTGCTCTTTTCTGATACGGGCGGCCGCAGGGAAGCAGGCTTGAGGGAGCAGATAAAGAGTTCGTCTGGGGCTGTGCTAGGTTCCACAGGCTCCTTAGTTTGGTTTTTGTTCTCTTTGTGATGTTGGGGGCCAAACCCAGGGGCTTGCGAGTGCTGGCAGAGCTGCACCCCAGGGCCCTGAACAACTGACGGAGCCCGAGAATCAGCACAATGGGACGTGAGGGTCGGTGTCGCCGGCTGCTGTCTGAAGCAAAGGTGATGGTGCTGTCCTCCCTAGACTGCTATAAAGTTCAACAAGAAAATATCACTCACCAGGCCTTGCATAGAGCTTAACTTTTCTTTCCTGGCTCAGCCTTCAAGACCTCAGCAAACCCCTCTCAGAAGTCCCGGGTCCCCCCCCCCCCCAGGGTGGCTCGGTCCCAGGGTGGCTCGGTTTGTGTCCCCCCTAGGAAGTAGTTTCCGACAGCACTGCTCGGGGCCGTGTGCTTCCGGGGCCCTTTGGGATTTGTCCCCTCCCAGGCCTCTTCTCTGCCCTGTCACGGCTGATGGAGAATGTCCCCCAAGTCCCTGAGCAGGAAGAGGACCGGACCAAGCCGACTGTGAGCCAAGGAGGCCTGGTCAGAAGCGGCCCCTGCTGGGCCCGACCGGAAGGTTTCTCTCCCTCCGCGGCTCCTCTCTTTGCTCTGCTTCCTGTCTTCAAGCCCGCCGGCCATGGATTGAAACTTCTGAACTGTGAGTCAGAGGAAGCCCCTCTCCTTTGCAGTCGCAGGTGTCACGGACTGTGCCAGCAAGAGGCACGTGACTGCGACGGATCCCTAGCACCACACACATTAGAAAGACAGAAGCCCTGAACGATGAGGTTTCCAGTCGGCGCGGTGAGGCCCCGGGAGAAATCCCCGCAGAGGCTCCGGGGCCGCGGGCACGCAGCTGTTACAGAAGTGTCGGGGCTGAGGCCCAGCACACAGTGGAAGTGGGGGAGATACCGGTTATGCCCATCTCAGGCTCTTTGAATTTGTTTTTTAACAACTGCATTGTTCATTTAAAAAATAAAAATAAAAATCGTTCTAAAAGGTGTTTGCTACTAAAGCCAAGTTCAGAAACAACTGTTTTGAGGAGGAAACTTACGGTTTGCCTGAGGGGGGACCAGTGCATGCAGGGGGCTGCTCTTCACTTACGCAACGCCCCCCTGGGCCGCAGTCCCCTCGTCCCCACCAAGACACGAAGGCCGCTCGCATCTTCCTTCCCGAGGGGAGAAGCTGCACTGAAGGGGGAGACAGAAGGGCGGGCCGCGTAGGGGCTGGAGACCGGCGGCGGAGGCACAGGCGGGCACAGGCGGGCGCAGGCGGGCACAGGTGGCGGGCACAGGCGGCTCCCACCCCGCACGGGGGCAGGAAGAGGCTCGCGGAGACCCCAGAGCCCGAGTCCCTGTGTCCTGGGCCCCCGGCCCGGCTGTGGGTTTCCCTCTGTGTCATCTGTGTGCTGAGATCGTGGGGCTCCTCGCAGCCTGGTCCTGTCTCCTGGCCGCCCGCCACCCCAGCACGTCTGGGCCTTTGAGCACAGAGCACTTCCTCTGTGCTGGGCACCGGGCTCGCTGCCGGATTTCTGTCCGTCCCTGGTCCCCGGTCCCCGTGAAGCACACTGCAGCCACGGGTAGGGAGACGAGGGGCGAAGCGCAGGAGCTATGGGCCCCTAACCAGAGTTCCTACCCGAATGTGGGTCAAAAGAGGCTTCCTGCTGGCCTAGTGGCACACACCCATTATCCCAGCACTTGGAAGGCTGAAGCAGAAGGATCGCCCTGAGTTTCGAGGCCATCCATGGTTACATAGTGAGTTCAAGGCCAGCCTGAACTACACAATTAGACCCCGTCTCAAAACAGGCAAAAAAGGCTTCCTGTCCCAGCACTAAGGGAGGCTGAGGCAGGAGGATCCCAAGTTCAAGGTCAGCATCGGTAACTTAGCAACTTAACAAGACCCTGTCTCAAAATAAAAAGGGCTGGGGATGTAGCTCAGTGTAAAGATCCTGGGTTCAATCTCCAGTACCATAAAAATAAGGAAATTTAAAAAGAAAGTCTTCTGAAGAAAAAGATGCCTATGGTTGCCCCAGAGGGTGAACAGCATCGAGAGAGGACAGAGCACCAGGAGAAGGGAAGCGATTCAGGATGCAGCGCAGGACAGTGGCCAGGGAGCGGGAAGCGGAGGCCTGCAGCCTTGTCAGGAAAGCAGGCTGCAGAGCTGCCGAGCTCAAGCTCGAGCCGGCCAGCTGGGTCTTGGGACACCCACGGAGGGCAGGCCCAGCAGTGACACAAGTACAGTGGCCCGTGTGAATGACTGAGCCATCTCTGTACATCCCTGCTCTCGGTAAACAGCTGCCAGTGCAAGCAACCCCGCCAGGGTCCCCAGCCGAGTCACCCTGGCCACTCCTTCTGGGAAGCCCAGAAGGCCCCATGGTCCACTGTGGAGCACTAGTACTGGCCCCAGAGTTATCACGAGGTCCCGTGTATATACAGTTCAGCCTGGTTAGGGGCCTGGGATGTAGCTCAGTGGCACAGCACCTGCCTGGCAAGCAGGAGGTCCTGAGTTTGATCCCCAGTACCAAAAACCAAAACCAAAAACAGCCTGTTTAGCTGGGGGAGGTAGTACATGGCTGAAATCCCAGCACTGGGGAGGCTGAGGCAGGAGGATCACCATGAGTTCAAGGCCAACCTGGAATACATAGGAGACCCTGTCTCAAAAAATAAAACAAAACCAGGGCCAGGGATTTAGCTCAGTGGTTCTGCCGCCTGCCTCACATGCGCAAGGGCCCAAGTTCGATCCCCCGTACCAAAAAATAAAAAAATAAAAAAAAATAAAACAAAACCAAAGTTTAGCCTGGAGTCTAAGTGCACATTACAGATCCTTAATGAATGTTACGTATTAGCATCAGCAAGGCAATTTCAGGAAGATCAGAGCAGAGCCCGCTGCCCGGAGACGAAGTCCCGTGATCTAAACCTTCCCCGATCCTGCCTCCAGCCCACAGTACAGGACATAGGGAACGGTGCCCCCTGCTGACCACCGCGGGAACTTCAGGGACCTCTGTGGGAAACCGCGGGACCCTCACCCCAGCTCCACGCCCCTGACCCTGGCACTGCGGGGCGGGGGTGGGGGGGGTGGAGCTCAGTGTAAGCAAATGCTCACTGCGGCTTCCACCAGAGTGCAGTGCGGGGCCCAGATATACTCACCTGCGTGAAATAAGTGCCTTTCAAACGCTAGACCAGGCGTGCAGGGCAAGAGAAATAAGCAAGGAGGACCTAGCACTGCTCCACTCACTGCCTCACTTGCTAAATTCTCTACATTGGGCTCGAACTTGGAACCCTCCTGCCTCAGCCTCCCAGAGTGCTGGGTTTATAGGTGTGCACCACCATGCCTAAGTAATATTCTTTTAAATAAGAAGATGCTGAGCGTAGCAGCATACTCCTGTAATCCCAGGACTTGGGAGGCTGAGGCAGGAGAATCTCCACAAGTTCGAGGCCAGCCTGGGGTACACAGTGAGTTCAAGGCCAGCCTGAGCCACACAGTGAGACCCTGTCTCAAAAGCAAGAAGTTTTAAAAAGGGCTGAGTGTTTAGCTCAGTGCTAGAGGACCACTGGGTTCAATGCCAGACACACACACACACAAACACACACACACACACACACTCACACTCAAAGTTTAAATGGCAGGGTGCAGGCTGAGGAGGATTCTAGAGTTGAAAAGTACAATAATGAATTGAAAAACTTAAAGATGGATCAATAGAAACTATCCAATCTGAGAAAAAAAATACAAGAGGGGAAAAGGCAAAGAAAAATAGATAAAGACTTGGAGGCCTGTGGGACAACAATGCAAGTATAACAGGGATCCCAAAAGGGAAAGAAGGAACGAAAAAGGCAGGAGAAACATTTGACAAAGTAATGGCAAAAATCCTTCTAAAAAAAAAAATCCTTCTCAAGGGGAACAGGGAGGAGGGAGGGAGACAGGAAGGAAGTGACAAGAAAAAAGTGAAAACAGAAGGAAAAAATGGAAACAGCTTTTGTACATAGGAAGGGGAGGGGGCTTGAGGGGGCAGATGGGATAAAATAAAATGTATTTTAAAAATCCTCCCCAGATTTGTGGTTTACATAAGGCAACTTTCAGAGTTTTGGGGAGTAGGAAGGGTTCGCTCTCAGCCGTCATCATTACCTTGCTGAGGACCCTGGTGAAGTCAATCGAATTCCGTCACATTCTCCCCAAATCTGAGGCAATCAATAGAAATACGCAGGGAAAAGCCAAACTTTCCTGTGAAGAAAGCTCCAGATGCTGTTTATTCATTTGTTTCTTTGATGGTCCTGAAGTGTTTCTCAGGTTTGAACTTTGCAGACCTCACTGTCCGGGCCAAGGTGGCGCTGGAGACCGAAGCGCCGGCTGAGAGCTCGGAGTCCCGCCCAGGGCGCCGCGGAAGCAGGCCTCACACCCCGGCTTCTTCCTCGCCCCCACCCGGCTGACCTGACGGCTGGGCTGCCTCCAGGTGGAAGGAAAGAAGCCTTCCTCCCCCTTTCTGTTTGCGAAAGAAACAGTAGCAATTCAGCCGAGCAAGGGGGCGCACACCTGTGATCCCAGCACTGCGGAGGCTGAGGCAGGAGGGTCACAAGTTCATATCCAGCCTCGGCCACTTAGCAACTGAGCAGGACCCTGTCTCAAAATAAAAAGACTGGCATGTAGCTTGGTGTGAAACCCTTGAGTTCAATCTGCAGTACTGAAAAAGAAAAAAAAAGAGGAAAAGAAAGGAAGGACAGAAAAGAAGGGAAAGGAAGAAAGAGAAAAAAGACAATTTAAAAAATGAAGACTGGGCCGGGGATTTAGCTCAGTGGTTCTGCTGCCTGCCTTGCAAG